AATAAATGTTCTTCACGTAAATCAAGTTCAGGATCATAATTAAATGTTGATTGTTGTTGTTGTTGTTGTTGTTGTTGTTGTTGTTGATTAATATCCATTTGATTATCTGTATTATTTATTGAATTTCCATATTTTATATGTTTAAATAAATTGACAACACGAGTTTTAATTTTTTGAAGAAAATTTTTATTTTCAATTATTGTTGAATGATGTGATGGAATTGTATTTGAACGTTGATTTATTTGATTAAAATATGTATGTAAAGTATTTGATGATGAACTATATTTTTTTTCAATTAATAATGAATTCATTGTTGATGATAATGTACCTTGTGTTGGACATGATGCATTACGTGTAAATTGAGGATGACTAACCGAAACAATTGATGACGAATCATTTTGTTGTGTTGATTTTGACGACGATCCTAGTGTCATTATTGTCAATCTAAAATATCATTTTACATAAATTCTTTTTTTGTTTTAATATTCTTCACTTGTAATTTTACTCTATCCGATCTATATTCTATTTACCCGCCTCTCTTACTTCCGCCACCTGGTCTTCTTTCGTTTGGTTCAATACACAAGATCATTAGAATTGAATCTCAATGTGCATATTCATACATCTCAAGAGATTAGAAACGAAAAGATTGAATGTCTAGTGTATAATAGCTGAGAATTAAATCTTAAAAAGAGAAAAACTAAGTTACATTTCTTTTTTTTATGATATTCAAGCACAAACACGACAGACTATTTTAAACGGTACTTAAAATCAATTAGCCATTGATATTAATCAAGAGAGATATTTTTCTTAATGCAATATTTTTCTTTTTATAGTTCGTAACAAGGTATGCACATGTAGGTGTGTGTGTGTGTGTGTGTGTGTGTGTGTTTTTACCTAGAAATCAATCTTACTATACATACGAAACAGCAAACGATAATGATAAATGAAAGCGAAAAAACCTATTTCGACAAGTTAAAAATATTAAATAAAAAAAAAAAAAGAAAGCATTTTAATATGTATATAACCTTCAGTTATAATTTTTTTTCTGACTAATTGACTTGATCATTATGGAAAATTGGTTTTAATTAGAGAAATTTGCTCAAGGTATTTTTTATTATAGGTAATAGTTGTCGATACTGTCAGATGTCAATAGAACAATCGATGAAATATCTTCTTTTTTTTTTGTTTCTAAGACTTACATAAAAATTTATGTGTCACCGATAGAAGAGTTGAGTTGCTGGGATGTGTATTTGATAATGGTGTTGTCGTTGTCGTCGTCGCACACTCAGTCTGAACAAGAAATGCATCAGGGGAGGACGTTACTCTCTCTTTTTCTCTCTTTTTCTCTCATTTTTCTTTAACGGTCGTGTTCTCTTATTCTCTCTCTTTTCCGTTATATAGCTTTATAGATTTTTTTTTCTCGTTTATTCTATTTATCGATTCTTTTAATACAGCTGATTGTCGATCAACTTAAGAGGGTACATACCATTATATACATATGCTTCTCGTCGGACTCGAGCATTTGTTCTTCATTCTTTTTCTGTGTAGGAAAGCGAAAAACAGCTGCTTGTCATATTCAATGATTGGTTACAATTTGACAACTTCATCTGATGAAGAAAAGAAAAAGAATAAAGAAAATATAGAACGCAAGAAATTCTTCTCAGGCTTTGCTTTCTTTTTCTTTTTCTTCTTTTTTTTTTTTTTTTTTTTTTTTGTTATAAGATTACCTCACGCGTGTCGTTTATTACTTCAGGGTATGTGGTATATGCTGTGCACGATAATGATGTGAAATCGGCACAAAAGATCTCTCGGGATTGTCATCAATTGTATGTGCTATAAAGGATGAACAAAAGCTCCCGGCTATCGATCACACATGTCTCATGAAGTGTTCATCATTAGTGAGAAGAACAAAAAAAAGAGCGAACTCTTTTTTTCTTTTTTTTTTTTTTTGGTTTGGAGTTGTTCGATTATAAGCTATAGAAGAAGAAGAAGAAGAAGAAGAAGAAGAAGAAAAAAAAACTAATTATCACACTCTTTACAAGAATGACGATAGACGAGAACAATTGCAGCTGATATTAGCCAGATTTTCTTCTTACACTTTCTGGCAAAGAACAAATTGATCACAGAGAACATCAATGAAATATAACATAAACGGGTTTCTTTTTCTTTTTGCTTGCTCTCAGCTGGAGCATATATATATATATATATATATACACATTATACAGGCCATATGTACACGAACGAAGCCATCATTATCCATGTTATGTGAGCAGTACACAGCTGGACTGTCGAGTCGATTTATAAACATATATATATATATTCACTACTCGTCATCTGATCCATTCCCCAGATGATGACGAAAAGCTTCATTTCGAAGATCTGATTTCTTTTTCTCTTCCTCTATGATGTCGATATGTCTCTAATGAATTGAACAAGCGAGTACGTGCTTGTTCTCTATTCAATTACCCTTACTGCCAAGGGTTCCTTACTGTTCTTATCACACTTGTTCTATCGTATTTATTATGTCTGCTTACTAATGATTCTTTTTTCTTCTCTGTTTTAGTTTTTTTTTTTTTCACTTTGCTTGTCAGAAGAAAATAAAGATATGTAAGCATACATCTAACCCCTTTACTACCGCCTGTCATCATCATTGTACAGGTAGATTGTTGACTAACGGTTAATTGAATGAGGGAAAAAAAACCGAGCGAGAAAGGAAAAAAAAATGAACAAGGCGTTTGTCTCTAGTGAGCAGAAAACCTATTCAAGATTCGATTACTCTATTTTTATCTATGGAATATTGAATCAGCATCGCCTGAGAGCACACTCACATTCTATCTATTGCTGTTGGTTATTGCCGAGATGGGACATGTGTGTGTGTGTGTATATATGCAAAAAAAAAGAAAAAAAAAAACGACGAGTCATGCAGTGTTGTATGCACGATCGAGATAGAATCTTCTCATGTGTACGTGTAGCTTTTCATTCATCATTATAATCTTTCCGTTGTATACACATATCAAGATGGTGTCTAGTAAATTTATTCGAAACAAAGAAATCTAACATTTTCATGTGAAAAATAACATATGAGAAGATCGATCTATATATATATTTATATGTAAAAAGAAAGATATTCTACAAGTTAGTGTGACACAGAAAAACTCCATTTCTTATTCATTAAGAAAAGGTCACGATCAAGATAAAAAACACTACAGTAGACTGATGATAGAGTAATCTTTACAGTTTCTTACCAATATAAGATGAAATTATTGCCTAAAGAAATGATATTAATGGTTTAAGCAAATACTTGAAATAAGCTCTTTGATTAATTTTCTGCCGAAGGATAGCAATCAAATAATCAGACGCAAGGCGTCAGAATCAATTTGCTTTGCATTCTCATCTGTTTGACATGAAGGAAAGAAGAAGAAAAAAAAAAAACTTGGTTGAAGTGATTCACTATGCATATTAAAGGGCATCACCTAGTCGAATTGCTCTTGTTTTTTTTTTGTATTATTATTATTATTATTATTATTATTATTATAACAAATATCGATATATACGTCGAATATCACCAATACGCATACACATTGATAGCAAGAAAATTGAAATCCCATAAGCCTACTGTTGTTGTTGTTGTTGTTGTTGTTTTTTATTATTATTAGTCTTGCTTCCCGTTTTTTTTTCTCTCTTGCAATCGTTTGATATATTTGCTTATATACTTTTCTACTGCACATATATTCTCTCATTGATTGTTCTTCCGCTTATGCTTACTCAGGTTGCCTGAGATTGCTAATCCACTCTCATTTATTTCTCAACTACTGTATATATAGTTGTGTGCGTGTCAATAGTTCAATAATTTAGTTTCTCTGCACGACGCCAGCTGTCAACTATGCAACACATGGCTCTGATTCTCTCGTGTATATATAATGCACCATCAATCACCTTCAAATTCTACTCATATAGAAAAATATCAGTAAAGATGCAATAATTTAATATCCTAGAAAAATCCTCTTGAGATCGAATAGAATATTTCATGATTAGATCTTATCAAAAAAAGAAAAAAAAAAGAAAACAAAAAGAAAAACTAGTATATATAACTATACAATACAATCACAATCGAGTTGAATGTGTGAATAGAAGTATAAGCGAAAAAGAATTAATTCACATTTGCATTTTTGACACCATCATCAAACATACATACACATTGGCACTCAAGAGAGAAAGAGAAGAAGAAGAAGAAGGAGGAGGAGGGAATGATGAGTGGCTCTTTGTCGTTGTAATGGTGGTGCCTATATATTTTTTTTGTCGATCGCAGCACGATATAATCAGTTGACAGGAGCTCAACTATACCTATTGAAAGAATCGAGAGAAATGTCTAGAATGTGTGAATTATATTGAATATACATCTAACAATAGAGAATAAAAACAAAAAAAAAAAGAACCGAACATCTGATGCGATCACACTTAATAATATAGCCGTACAAAGAAAAATCTCAGTAAAATATTTCATATGTTAATATGATGTTAAAAACAAAACAAAAGAGATATAAAATTTTATTTGAAAAAAGATAAATCTTAATTTAATCCGCTTTTCGTATTTTATCTCGATACTGTTTACATATGTAATGAAAGACAAAAAAAAAATACTCAATTATCATAAGAAGCTTTGATGGTAATCCAAAATGATGTATAGCCTTTTTCTTTCTTTTTTTTTTAATAGTGCAATGTGGAAATGAGAAAGATGAATTATGAATGCATGATAGCATCTCCGGAAGGAACTAGACATGAAATACGCACGCAAGCATAAACCTTTTTTTTTCTAAATCTTAATTTTTCTTTTTGATAACTTCTTAAAAAAATAGAAAATATCAATTCAACTTGAATGAACACGTCATTTGACACTTTCCGGTTATACACTTCCATATATATATATATTATAAGGTTTTCATCGCAATTATATATCATTAAAAAAAAAAAATGTCAGATGGAACATGTCAAATACATCCGATTCTTCATTTTTATATCAATAACTACGTCTATTTAATGTATATATTCACTTTTTTTTTTTCGATTTTGATCAATAGATCATACATTGACATGATTGTTTGTAGTTGCGGAATGATCTATCAGTAGAAAGAATAGCACGCAACAGACACTTTTTAAATAGATCTATAAACATATGGCGGAAATAAAAATGTGTATTATTCTTCTTCTTTTTCTTCGTCCTTTTTTGTTTTTTTGATCTTCATTTGACCAATAAGTAGAATACTTCAAAGTGCACACGTACATCACATATTCTTATAATATAGAGCCTATTGTTGTTAATATAAAAAAAGAAAACGAGAGTAAGCCATTGAAGCACTACTTGTACCATATGGATAGGGAATATATATATTCAATGTCAATTCAACAACAAATTGTAAATGCTGATTAGTAATGA